ATTTTTATATATTGACTACTTAATTAGATGTACTTTGCACAGTTAGGTTTCAAATTTTTAATTTGTAATTTTTTAAAAAAATATGTTATATTTTTATTAAATTTAAATTGTACAGAGTATATTTAGATAGTTAAAATATACAATTATGAAATTTTAATATTAAATTAGACGGTATAAAATACATATAAATAATCAATATATAAAAATTATAAAAATTTAAATATTAAATTATATCCTTTAAATTAAATCTAGACTCAATTGATGATAAAAAGATTTATAAATTTTTTTTATAAATTTTATAAATTTTTTATTTTAATAAATATAAAATAAATTATAAAAATAATTCATTAAATCTGGACCACAGATCAAGATAACCCTGCAAAGAGAGGGAGAGAGACCGCACACTAAGATGATTTAATTACACTTGCATATGTACTTTATATGTTAAATTAATTTAAGAGTTAATTTGCATTTTATACATTAAATTAATTTAAGAATTAATTTGTACTTTAAATCTTAAAGGTTTAAGAAAATGTAAGAGAATAAATTAATAAAAATTAAATTCAAAAGACTAAATTGATAATTGAAAGAAATTTCAAAAGCTAAAATTTTTATTTTTCCTAAAATTATTCTATACCTTCTAATTCTCTTTAATTTAAATTTTGCTGATCTAACAAAAAAGGATATCTTTAATTTAAATTTTGCATATAAAAAAAAATCAAATTTTTGCCATCTAAATTTAACATGAAGAATTTATATTTATATGTATTTGTTTATCTTCTTCTTCTTCTTTTTTAATATAGCGAAATAGTTTCAAGTATTATCACACCTAGTTACCCTAGCTCTTTTAAAAATGTTTTTTTTTAAACTATTACATGAAATTAAACTCCAGATATTGTATTTAAGGGCTATCACTCGTTTCACTGTAATCAACTGTTTTGTTTTTCTTCCAATTTAAGTCACAAACACAAGACATCAAAGTTCAGACGTTTTGAAAGGATCTGCAATTTCTGGAATCGGCTCTTTTGCAAGCCAACAAATTAGATGCCTCTGAATACTCCTAACTCGCAATAAAACAAAAACATTACACACTTTCGTTCTTATATCAATGTCAACGTATCAACATCAACAAATATAATGAAATGTACAAAAAGTTATAAAATTCTTAAATAATAAAAAAAACATGACCTTTTATTTAGGCGGGGAGAACAATAGGGACTAGAAATAAAGAACTTTTAAAAATAGTTTAAAAAATTATTTTTTTAAATTGTCTCTTCTCCCTGTTTTATTTCTACTACTTTACCCTTCATCCAAACCAAGACGGGCATGCTTGAGACTACATGCTAAAATGGAATGGAAGGAAATGGTTATTAATAAAATAAAATTGAATGAAGTGAAGTGAAACGAAATGTTTTTTTGTTGGAAAGTTTTATTTGAAAAGTGAATAATTTAAGAATTATTATAAAGTTAATGTATTTGAATCAGTTATAATTATGTTTTTTTTTCAAGGGTAAAGAGGTAAAATATTCAAAAAATTGTCGACTAGAAGCGTACAGTAATTTAAAAGTGAGAAAAAGGATAAAAATATTTATAATGTTATCTAAGTTGATGTAAGAGTAATCAATTTATTAAATCTATCAAACATTGATCGTTTAGTTGACACCTAAACAAATATTTACTTTTTTTTTTTTTGCTGATATAGACTAAAAATAAGGCAAAAATACTCATAAAATTGTTAGCCAAGGACATTCAATAGCCTAAAATGAAAAACAGGATAAAATATCCATAACGTTATTTTAGTAAATACAATAGTAATCAATTCATCAAAATTCATGCCATATAGTTTCCTTTCATTTGGCAATACTCTTAATAGAGATTTCAAACATTTCTTAGGCAAAGGCTTCTCAAAGAATTTTTGACAATTAAGCACGATTTTCTGAAACCCTCTCAATTAAGCATCAAACATAAGCTACCAAGCTTGCTAGGAAGGGACGTGATGTTGCAAATGAAGTTGGAAAGGAAATTAAGCTATAAGAAACTTCCTTTATCGATTTGGATCAGAAAAAAGAAGCTTCAATGCTATAAAAATTTTTAAAAAGTGAGCAATTTAATTTGTTATTCGATCAAAATAATATTTTCTCACCGTCAAAACTAGAGCCTTAAGTCGAGACTTGTCATCATACAATGGCTGATTAGCCTCTACAAAATTCCACTATGAATATTTTTTTACTCTATATTAGTGAAAAAATGATAAACTTCTATTTAAGTGTTAACAAGGATTTGAGAGATTGGTCATTGTTATATTTACTAAAGTAATGTTATAGGTATTTTTGTCTTTATTTTTCATTTCAGGTTATCAGATATCCTAGAGGTATTTTTCACTCTTTTTTAGCCCACACCGACCAAAAAATGATCAATGTCTACTTAGGTGTCAGTTAGATGGTCAGCATTTAAGAGATTTAATAGATTGATCATTTTTACACTAACTTAAGTAATGTTATGAATAGTTTTGCCCTTTTGCTCTTTTTCTAATTTCAGGGTGGGAGGAAATGAAAGAATAAGAAGTGACGAGAAGATCTGGTTAATTTTTTTAATAATAATATTTATATTAAGTTATTCTATCATCCACCTCCCAAATTAGGATGTAAGAAAGATATGAATTTAGGATTGCCAAGTATGACTTAAAATGCATCCCAGGCCCTTCCACCATCTTTTAAAAAATTCTCACAAATAATAATATATAATTTCTAGCAATCTCACCCCATTTCATTTCATCCCTTATAATAGAAAATAAAATATTTGTATATTTGAATCAAAATGATAAAATTATTAGAAAACGTAAAAAAAAAAAAATAACCAAAAAACTTACGATAAAAATGGCTGGCTCCTTCATTTTTTTTTTGATAAAAAGATCGATTAAATAAAATGAAGGTAGTTTATATAATCTAAGTCTGAAAAATCATAAAGTTAGAAGGGAAGAGAAAATAATATTTATCTTGAGAAATATTAAAGTAAATAATACCAAAATTCTCAAGCAATAAACTAATATGGGTCGCCTTCACTTAAATTTATAATGGATTCCTTTGGCCAAAAAAAAAATTCTAAATAAATAAATAATAAATAACTAGATGGCTTTGAGCTTTTATTCTCTCTCTGTTTTTTTTTATTTGAAAAAAAAAACAAGGATAACTTTTAGCTTTTAAGGACAAACATTTTGTCTCTAGAATATGTAAAGGGCAATTATATCATAACAGAAAATGACACCGCCCTGAATCTGATTCACATCTTATGTGACAGCGAGGAAGTTTCCTCCCTCCTTCGTTTCCTTTCTTTCTTTTTTTTTTTTTTCGGGAAAATTCAGAGAATTTGGTTTTTCCTTGTGGCCCAAATATAAAAATATGGGCCAATAACTTCATAACACTAAAAACCTTGACCCAATCCAAATATTAGTTTTGGTGTCCAGAACTAATGTACAAAGATTATAGCTGTGACCAATTAGGGTTAAGTATGACGTAACATAGCAAACTAAATATTTTAATTTTTATTGAGAAATGTAATCACATTTAACATTCAACTGTATCTAAAATATAATTATTTCTAATAAAATTTAGGAGGATATGTGTATGCAATTAAAAAAAAAGAAGAAGGAAAAGATTAGAGTTGTGACTAGAGAATACAAGGGAAATCACATGGCAATCTTTAAGATTTGATAATATTTAAGAAATTAAAATTATCTTTTGTATTTTCTAGATATATCATCTTTATTTTTCAAAGATATTATTCATGCTTTCTAAATTTGCAGATCTAAAATATTCTTATAATATTAGAAAGATCAAATTCAAATCGCAATTCTCAAAATATAAAGATTTTATATTTTTCATTACATATTGATTTATTAATAATAAATTAAAAATAGCTTACAATTTTAAGATAATTCCTATAGAATTTGATAATTTAAACTATAAATAATATAAAATAAATATAATTCTTCTAAAAATACATTTGGAACGAAAATACAATTTAACCCTTATAAAGAAAGAAAACTAATTTTAACTGAATAAGAAAAATATAAATAATCCTTATTTAGATGCATGAGAATTTGGATGTGAGTCAAAACCTCATTTGGATACATAATGGTAATCCATACTTTTAATTCTTTCTAAATTTTTAGTTTTTAAAATCTCATCTACTTTAATCATTTCATTTTCTTCATGTCTTCACTATTGGTGTTTAAATTTAAATTCATTAATCCAAATACTATTTAAAATGTCAATCATATTAAATAAATTGATTTGTTTTCAAACTTGCTCCCTTCCTCACAAGAACAAAGAACTCGTTTCTTTAAGCCTTTTTCCATGAAAAGCATCTTATTTTTTAAATCAATTTAGTGAAATTTTATGGTATCTGTTTTAACTTTTGAAAAAAATTAGAATTTAAAAAACACATATTTATAATCATTTTGATTAGCTACTTTGAATATCTTCTGAAAATAATCCGATACACTGGATATAAGAGAATGCCTTAAAAATATGATAACTGTAAGTTTTGAAAGAGGAATACATATATGTAATGCGTTGTTGAGTGATATGAAAATGCAGGAACTTAATTACAGAGTCAAATTCAATTCTTGGATTCACAACAAATGCACAAAGAAAAGAGAGATTTCAAGTAGGAGAGAATATGATAGAAAGTTTTTAAAAAACCAATTCACATTTGAAAAATTGATCCCCATCTTTACATTGGTTTCGGACGTGGGAGTTATCTCATAAAACCCTTCCCTCCAATCTACCAAATTGAATTATGGGATATTTCCATACAAAGGCCTAGAAAATATTACGATTAAGAATCCAAACTCTTTCATATTCACAATAAAACTCTATGGGTTATATATTGGGCCAATCCATCAAGAGTAAATAACCCAACAATAACATACAAAGATATTAAAAAATCTAAAAATAACTAAATAATAATAACTTTTTATAAATAGATAGTCACGAAAATATCATAAAACCTAAAAATAACAAACAACAATAGAACATGAAAAAGAACAAAGCTAAACTTGTGAAGCAGTTACACTTTGCTATATGTATTATGAGGTGCACTCTACATAAATATCCATGATTAGTGAGTGAGATGAGACTTGCTATCAAGTTCACTACGCACTTTATCTGTGTCCTCAAAACAAGTCATGTCATCAACATCAGTCTCTTGTTGTTGATTATAGAAAATCCAATTGCCAACCTCCCAACCAATCCATTCATCCCTATAGTCCCAATGTTGATCAGTCCTTCCTTTCATGTGCTCATTATCATGGCCTTCATAGAAGCCATTGAATGGATCATTCTTCATTCCTCTTGCTTCCTCATCATCATTCTCTTCATAATAACCATATCTTGACTCATATGCACTTGATCTCCCTTTCAAATCTGACATCACTGCCTGTGCTACCATAAAACGATAGTTACATATAGAGCCTTTGTAAATTACGTGGAGTAATTTCTTTTTAAAAACAATAAGAAAGATCTGAATTTTATGTTATTATTTGTACCTCATCTTATCCTGATCATGTAAGATAACCTCAGGAGTGTGATATGTTTAGATTAAAAAATAAAGATTTGGATTGAAATTTAAATATGAATCAAGTAATCTCCTATTTGGATACATACAAATATATGAATTTTGATTTGATTTAAGTCCAAATCAATTTTTTTTATAATTTTAAATTCTTTTTGTATTCTAATTATCTAAAATTTCAATCACATTAGTCTATTACTCTTGCCTTTTCTCTCATCCTTTGTTCTTGTCTCTCATTAATAATTGAAGAGTGGAAGTAATCTCATTACTCCCAATCTTATGACTAGTGCTTGGATCTCACTAGTCTTTCTCCTGTTTTTAATTTTTTTTTACATTATTCAAATAAAAAATTTTAAATAAATGAATTTTAAATTTGAGACTTTAATCTAAAATCTGAATCCATATATTCAAACACCACTTTCATAAAACGCTTTATTTATTATCAATTTGATCTTAATTTAACTGTATAATTTTAACTATTAATTCTAAACCGGTTCAATGACAGATCTAGTTTTTAATATATATATATATATATCAAACTTACTTATTGTTGAAAAAGAAAGAGTAACTTGATTAAATACCTCATAGGCTGCATTGATTTCTTTAAATTGCACATCGCAATCCTTCCCTTTACATACATCTGGATGATACTGAAAAAGTTTGAACAACAATTGAATCATCAATATATTATTAATTAAACCCAAACAGAGAAATTAATGAAAGACTATTCAGCAGAAGAATTAATTGACTAATTATTCAACCTTCTTTGCAAGCTTTCTAAATGCCCTCTTGACTTGAGGCACAGAAGCATCGAGTCGAATTCCCAACGTCGTGTAAGGATCTACCGTTGTATGAGAATGAGAAGAACAACACGAAATTCGAACAACATTAATCTTCCTCGTATGCATTAATCTCACTCTTGCTCTTAATTGCTGATTAAGAGACGATAATGATTGTCTACAAACAATCTCAGCATTGGCAATAGTAGCCATTATACTCAAATGCAGAGAAAGCCAAATAATGAAACTCTCAAAAGATTTTTTTTTTTTGGTGGAAGAGAACATAAACTGTATGTGCTTTTATAGATACGGTAAGTCTTTTGATAAGAATGAGGAGATTTCTTTAATTTTTTTTAAATGCAAATCATATCGCAAAGGATAAGTCATGTATATATGCGCGCTCGCATATTGACACTTTTTGGGTCAAAATATACATATTTATATTTACACGAAAGAATAATGTGAGTACATATTATAAACGGTGATTTGGCGTTACCGTTATACCTTACTTTTTGAAAACTAAAAATTAGATACATAAAAAATTCAAATAATTTTAAATATATTTTTTAAAAAAGATAAACTTTTATACTTATCCTATCTATAACTAAAGTTGAAAACTTAAATTTATCTACCTATATATAACATAAATCTGTCTATTAAAAATTGTACTATTCATGAATTATATCAATAAAATAATTACGAATTATACTTAATAATTTATTATAAAAATAAATATTTTACTCTTTTGATCATTATTATTTAAATTTAATATAAGAATTATTTTTTATTTATTTATAACTTTTAAAGGATAAGGTTGGTTATTGATATTGTAATATATATATATATATATATATATAAGTCAACTTACACAAAACTATTTTCTATTAACAGGACAATAAGTTAATAACGTTGAAAAGATTAAGAACTTTTAAAAATAGCAGCATGACGTTGAATAATAAATTAGCAACTGGTGCCTTGTCTTCGTGGCTTTGTGCCATCAGGTTGGACTGGGCCAACTCGGTATAGGAGACCCGGTTTGGTCCGATCTCCAGAAAAAAAAAATTTACAAATTTAAAAAAAAAGTAATAAATTAATTTCATTTATTAATAAAAATATAATTACTTTCACCCCAAATATATTCCCATGAAATATAGTATGAGGATAAAAAATATTTTATAAAATTATAAATATGTAATAGTTTCCTTACTTTTATATAATATTAAGCCAAGGAGTAAATTTTAGTTTAAATAAAATTAAAATATTGAATAAAATTAATATTCATAAAGAAGAAAGAAAATATAAAGGGATAATTTTTTATTTTTTTAAAAAATAATTTTTATTTTAAACTGAAAAAATAATTTTTTTTAAAACCATATAAATGATTTTCGTGAAAATATAGTAAAAACTAAAAATAAAATAAAAGATTCCACTAAAAATATAAGAATAAAAAAATTTCCAATAAAAACATCGATAAAAAATAATTATTCATTACACTTAAATTATTTTAAACTTTCAATCCTTTGTCACTTATTCCAAATGTTCATGATCTCATCATCAACTTTATTCCTCCCAATATTTTAAATTTAAAGTTTTAAATTCAATTATACTTCATCTAGGTGACACCATTTTTTTTTTCTTCCCTTCCCTTTTTCCTCTATCCATCGATTGTTGGATTCAAAACTAATATATCCATGGGAGTAAGTTAAAACCAAATTCATATTTATATGAGTTATCACAAACTTCAGGTGGGCAATTGCCCACTCTCAAGTGTAAGTAGATTTGTCACTAGTTACATGTTTTCAATTTTTTTAAAATTTATAAAAACTTAATAATATTTACGTTTTTTTTAATTCCGGCCCCTCTTATTGTTAAATTATGGCTCCACGCCTCCACCCCAGTTGGAGATTCTTGCATTTGAAAATGTCTCGAAACTGTTGGTATTAACTTGTCAGACAAATATACATATATGATACGTATGTACATGCATAGATACATACATACATATATAACCTAACTTTTCATCAAAATAAATGCTAACTAACTTAGCACCTCATAAATGGCTATATAAATAAGGGAGAATCGCACATGATGCCCACATAATGGAAAAAATGGCATTTAAAATTCAATGCATTTAGAATTGTTTCTGCAGGTCTAAATGCCCTAAATTCAAATATTTTTTTTTTATAAAAAGACGTGTTGGCCTTAACCACTTAAACTATGTATAATAAGTAGATATTGTATTATTCATGTATGAACATTGTCATGTTCTAGACATTGTGTTGTACAAATAAAACCTGTACATTATTATTCATCATAATCACACGAATTTGTATAATAAATAGAAATTATGTTGTTCATTTATGGACTTGTCATGTTCTTTATGAACATTATATTGAACATATACTTGGGAAACTTGTATGTGAAAGTCTGCCTAAGAGAGGGTGAATTAAGTTTCATAAAAATCTTGCTAATAATAATAAAAATTTAGATGATGAGTTTAGAAAGATATCACCAAACGTCGAGAAGAGAAAGGAAGGGAGGCTTGCACAGATATTTATCCTGCTTCAATTTCAATCACTTGAACCTACGTCCAGTCCTCAAGCACTATTTGAAATTTTTCCACTAACTCCACCAAAATTAATCCAAACTCTTGGTAGTCACAGTACAATCCCAGACTTACACTAAAATCTGAATCACTCCCTTTTACAAAAGTAATGATATAACCCTCTTAAACTCCAGGCTCTGCTATGATGAAGAAAAATAGAGATGAACAGAGTATGTTCAAGAATGAATAACTACTATCAAATACTCTCACTTAAAGTTGATATATAATCAATAAAGCTTACTTGTAATAAGTGTAAACTCAAAAAGTTGGTAAACAATAAATATAAATAGCTCTAGTTTGTTCATGTACGTTTATATCTCCACCATCTTCATAAATGCTTGTATTTATAGTTGGAGTCCATAAATGATTTGTTATACTCATGAATATAGCCATTAGAGTCATCGTCTTCTTTCCTCTAAGTTATCTAAGCAATCACTGAACTGAGGCAATGAAACAATGCTTTTTGGCAGAGCTTTCTCTGCCATGGCAAATAAGAAAAAATAACAGCTCTTTTCATTAAATGTTCTAACAAGGTCGGTGGGAGACTCTTTCAGAAGAACAAAGCTAGTTGGGAATAAATACTCTCTGAATAAGATCGAACTAAGTTCAAATTATCCCAAGAATACGTTTAAAAGGATTCTGGAGAAATTAACTAACTCATATTACTCTCAGATGAAGAAATGAAGATGGACCAAGAGAGTTTCAAAAAGGCTCTATCTTAGATGAGAGAAACAAAGCATTGCATATTGGGCATATTTTCAAATGATAGAGACTTATTTTGAAATAGCGAAGAACATACTATGAGAGGAAGACAAGGCTTACTTCAAAATAAGACAAATAAACTAGAAGAAATTTACATAGGCATGGATCTGAAAGTCTTTATTTGGAAATAAGGAGAGTTATTCCCAAATAAACTATTCTTGAATAAGAGACATTAGAAAGATGCAACGCGAACAAGCTTTAAAAAACAGAACACTATTTTAAAATAAAGACAGCTATTCCCAAATAAGCTATTTCTAAATAGACAAGAGAGTTGCTACTTGATAATAAAGAGGTTCACTCAGGAATAAGCTATTCCAGTATAAGGACCATTATATCGAAAAATAAAAAAGGCTCTTAGATTTGAATTTTTAATTTTAACTCTAATTGAGATACCTTCCAAGCCATACAAGAGATCCTCTAAGAATTAAGATCAAGTCAAATACTTAATCTTTAGAGAGAAACACAATTTAAATAGATTAAAGAAAAGTTCACGTGTTTCTTGGCTATTTAGAAATAAGACATATATTTGAGAATAAGGAAAAATAGAAAAAATACACGAGAGTCAAAAATTCAAGTCAAAGATAACCCATTTCCTTTCAAACCATTATTTCTCAATAATTAAACTTGTAAAATACAAACTTCTCTTATTTCATAATTATTAAAACTAGGGTTCATCAGTATGTCATTGTTCAACTTAACCATACAAATTATGTATATGTTCGTAAAAAAAAATCAATCAAGGCGTGGTGTCACGAGGCATGCCAGAGACGTAGGGTCTCAAAAGGATGGAAGAACCTGATTTCTAATTAAATGTGGGGAACCTGGGCTCCCTTACCACAATTCACCCGAATGCGAGATGTATTAATTAAAGAAAAAGGGTGACGAGTTATGCCAGCCGTACTACAAAAAATAAAGACTAAAGTTACATGATAAAAAAATAAAGTAATAGACACAGAGTCTGAGACTGGTAGTTTGTTGATGCTGATGATGATCTGATTGAGAGAGAGTTCCTCTATTTATAGATGATCCTAATTTGATGCCCAAGCCCCATGATCGTCAGTTTCCTTAAAATTAAAAAGCACTTCCTCTATTATGTTCACTCATTATAGGTGATAGTCTTGACTTAATGGCTAAGACTTCCTAAATATTCTTTTTTTCATATAATTATTTTAAAGTCAATTAAGTTGAGTTGGGCCAAGGCCTCCATGTTCACAATCTGGGTGCAAAAAATGCCCATCGCATACAAAGTGGCTAGAGTTTTCGTAGGCCAATTTTATATAAATATATCTTAAAGGACCGGCACATTCTCGTTCTTATTAATAGTTGATCTAGTACTTTTCTTGAAGGATACCTTTGTGATTGAGGATTAAAGACCATGTGGTCCAACTTAGGATCAAGTTTCTCAAGATTTAAGACCTCAAGAGCTAGTTTTGAAATTGACCCTTCGAGTTTTTGGACTTTAAAGACTAATTCTATAAAATCTAGCTATTGTGAGGCCCCTATGGAGAGAGCCTTTTAAGAGAAAGCTCTCGTGGAAAAGGCCCTTATAAAACTTGTCTTTCTAACTTTGGCCCCTCTGGTGTCGGCCCTTATGACTATGACCCTTGTGACTTTGGCGTTTGTGACTTCGGCCCTTTTAGTGTTGGCCCTAATGACTTCAGCCCTGATGGTGCTGTCCTCGATGACTTCGACCCTTGTGGCTCCAGCCCCTCTGGTTTTGGCCCCAATGGCTTTGGCCCTTATGGCTGAACGGGCTTGTTATTAAATTAAACCTGCCATTTATCTTTTGAGGGATGTTATAACGATAATCGTTATTGATCTTTTGGTCAAAGGGTACTTTGGGCGACTGTCCCTTGAGTTCATCTGTTCTCTAAAGGTGCAAGCCAATTGAAGCTTGCTCTTGCGATGATCTAGACAACATAGCAGAGATATTCCTTAGCCCCTCCTTCAGAGTTTGCAACAGAGCTCTTTACCTCTCGTTAGCTCGTACTACACGTTCTACGTGTGCAACCACATTCTCTGAGTCATAAGACTCAAGTCTATTCTTTTCAACAACATATTGATCCTTATGTGTCCTAGGTATTTCTTTAACACGAGTCCTACAGGGCGTGCCAAAAATTGTTTGTAAAAAAATAATCAATCAAGGAGTGGTGTCGCGAGGTGTGCTAGAGACGCAAGGTCTCAAGAGGATGGAAGAACATAACTTCTAATCAAACGCGGGGAACCCGGACTCCCTTAGCACAGTTCACCCGGATGCGAGAATGTGAAGTGAAGAACATTAATGTAGATGCAGAAAAGTAGAGATGCATTAATTAAAGAAAAAGGGTGGTGGGCTATGCCGGCCGAGTAACGAAAAATAAAGACTAAAGCTACATGATAAAAAAGAAAAATAAAGTAACAAATGCAGAGTTTGAAACTGATAGTTTGTTGATGCTGATGATGATCTGATTGAGAGATAGCTCCTCTATTTATAGATGATCCTGACTTGGTGCTCAAGCCCCATGATCGTCAGTTTTCTTGAAATTAGAAAGTACTTCCTCCATCATGATCACTCATTATGAGTGATGGTCTTGATTTAATGGCTAAGAATTCATAAATATTCTTTTTTTATATAATTATTTTAAAGTCAATTAAGTTGAATTGGGTCAGAGCCTCTATGTTTATAATTTGGGTGTAAACAGTATAATAAAGGAATATTATGTTGTTCAGATATGGCTCTTATAATGTAATTTACGGACATTGCGTTTATACATATACATGAAAAGCTTATGCAGGTGGAACAGATTCGTCTTTTTATAAAGAAATATATATTTGCATTTGGGGCTTTTGGACCTGAAAAAATAATTCAAAATATATTGAACTTTAGATGTGATTCTCCCAATAAATAACCCACAGATTTGGGATGAGAGGTGGAAGGTGCGTGGCGCGGAAGAAGAAAGGTTTATGCAAAGAGAAGGGTTTCCTTGGAATATAAAAAACATGGTGCAAGTTATCAAACATTGATTTAATGATTTAGATCCAATCAAACACCTCCACAAGCGTGACTACACATTACTTTAATGTATGTATTAGCGTATAGCATAAAGACATGATGCACAAGCTTGCTTGCGCCCAGCATATTATTCATCATATAACGCACATTGTAGTTATCTATAAGGCCAAAACATTAAAATAGCGTGTAGATAAATAAATTTGAACTTGAATTTAAAATTTAAAATATCACATTTAAAATTCAAATATTTAAAATATTTTATTTGTCTGATTTTAAAAATTTAAATTAAAAGATCATGAAAAAGGAGCAGGGAATGAAAATAGGAGGAGATTAAGAGAGCTAGAATAACTAGCATTTTAAATAAATGTATCGTCAAATTTTAACCTATTTCAAGTAAAGGAAGTGGAGGTGACACTATCCCTACATGTGCTCTCATCATGATATCAAGTGCTTTGATTTAATTTTTTTTCTTTTTAAGAGGTGGAATAAAATAATTCAGTTGAATCGCAATGATCATATATCTGAAATTTATTATGTCCCATAACAAGTCTCATTCTTCTACCCTTTATCCATCATTAATGATTATTTGTAACTATTACTTTGACATTAAAGAAGAATTTGACCTAATACTTTATTTTTGTCCTAATAATTGTATATTGATTTCCCCAATTACAGAATATTATTGTCAATAAATATTGCACGTTCGCTTCCATCCATGTCTATTTTCTTCCCCATGAATAAGAATTTTAATTTTAAATAAATCTATACTAAAATACATTTATTTGTCAATAAATCTATTTTAATATAAAAGGCTTACAATATATAGATCGTGTTAATAATAATTAATGAATATCTTAATGAGATCTAATAAATATTTTTAAATCTTAATAAATAATAATATATTAAGAAAACAAATTTCAATAGATATTATATTTCAACACTACTCCTCAAACTTAGAGTGTATGAGAAAAATAGATAATATATCTCATGAAAACACTTTTTTGGCTAACATCATTAATATTTTTTTTTGGCCAAAACATCATCAAGATTTTAGTAAATCAAAAGAACAAGGAAAATCCAGTTCTAGTGAAAAGCAGGGGTTCAGAAGAATTAGAAACGAAATTATAAACAATTTTATTGCATAACATATGTATGGTAAAACACCAACTTCACTCCCCGCCATCAACATGACGACATGATGATGAGATTAAAAATACTTGAAAATTATATACAAAAATATACAATTTTAGTGGGACTTTCTTCAAGTGGGAAAAAAAAAAACATCAAAGAAAGAAACATAAAAATGGTTATGTGGCTTTCAGCAGTGGTTAAGGAATCAAATGTAGGGGTTAACGTGGGAAGAGTAGTCCCTGATCCCAGCTCCTTCCCAGCCCATCCATTCCTCCCACATGTCCCAATCTGAATCGTTCACTCCTCTCATCTGATCATCGTCAGATTCATCGTACGATTCACATCCTCCCTTCGTAATTGGCTCTCCTCTCAAATTAGCCATCACCACCTGCGTTATATAAAAAAGTTACTAATTATATTTTTAATTAATTAATTGGGGTAAAAATGGTAGGATTATGTATTAAAGAGATCAGATCTTAGGAAATGCATTTTATAAATTTTAATTTTAATTTTTTTATTATAATCTTTTGGATGATCTTGGGAGGAAAATCTGAAAGCAGAGTAAAATAATATTTATGGAAAGATTGGGTTTAACAGATTTCAGTTTAATGATACTGATTTCTGAACAACTTAATTTCACAACTGAACAATAATTAATATTTTCCTTTTCATTTAAAAAAAAACCTTACATCATAGGCCTCGTTAATTTCATGAAACTGCACAGCACAATCCTTCCCTCTGCAAACGTCTGGATGATACTGAAACAAGCAGCTTGAAGCTTGAGCATCATTCAAATCAATAATTTTATCTAAAATAAGTGAATTAAAGAACACAAAAAGAAAAAAAAATTGAATAATCCAAATAAAGATTAAGATTGAAATTAATTAAACCTGCTTAGCAAGGTCCCTGAAAGCCTTTTTGACCTCAAATTCAGAAGCACCATGAGGAACTCTTAATGTCTTATAAGGATCCATCACGTAAGAAGAATAACCACAAGAAATCCGGAACGTGTTCTTCCTTTTCTGCTCTGTTTGTCTGCCTCCGAACTTCAAACTCGAAGAAGACGACACCTTTCCGGCAACACTCCGGCAACGGTGAGAGCAGCCATTACAGATATATATATATATATATATATATTCAAAACAACAACACAGAGATTCAAGTTTCGTTAGAGGAGGAGGGAATGATGATTATTATAAGAGATAAAAGGACAGAGGCTAATTGGTTTGATTGGGTTAAGGATCAGTGTGAAACGAGATACATATATATATAAATTTAGGGGGAAGAAGAAGAAGCGCTACGATGAAGTCAGATCGATGTGGCTTCTACTTTCAGGGTTCTTATCCGTAAGGCAAAGCGTGACGTGGATATGATATTTTTAGTTTCGTGGAAAGAGAGAATCATTTGGATAAAACAGAATTTATTTGGAATAATTAAACTTTAAACCCTTATATTTTTCTCAACCATCACTTTAATCTCTTAAATTTAATTTTATCCATATAGTCCTCTATATTTTCTTTAATTATCATGTTAATTTTTTAAATTTTCAGATTAATCTAATAGCTAAAATATATTGATAACATGACAAAAATATGTAGTTAATTAAGTGAGAATAAATTAATCCTCACATCAATCTAGTTTCTTATATTTTGTTTTAGTCTTTTTTTATTTTGGAATTTGATTTTTTTACTTAAATAATTACATTTTTTTATTGATACATATGGTTGCCTTCAATATTTTTTTATTCATGTCAATAAGTTATAATAGTATTACATCTTCTTTTAATAATAAAAATTAAATTGACAATTGAAATAAATTTAAGGAATTAAATTGATAAAAAATTAAATTTAAAAGATTAAAATTTTCTTAATCTTATTTTAATTTCAAATAAGCTCTGAAAAAACAAAAACAAAAAATGAGAGAGATTCTCGCTCTTATCTTATCTGTTAAGCAGTTATCCATCTATCATCCCTCACAATTGCTCTGAATAGGACTGCTCTCCTGTTTTACTTATTTTAATTTAATCGTACCCTGACTTTTTTTTTTTTTCCTTCCAATTTCTGGAACTCTTCCCATTAAAGTGAAAATTGAGTAAAATTAGGGTCATTAAATATAATTCAAAATCAATGCAATAGAATGGGACACGTGTCAACATTTGAGAGGATAAAGGGGAGGGGGCTATTCCAAGAAGAAACAGAAATAGGGAGAGGAGGTTGTTCCGTTGTGGATAAGGAAGAATGTGGGACGTACACGTGGCTGTCATGCAGGAATGATAGGGAATCTTGAGCTCAACGGGAAAAGGTTGAGGAACTACACTTTGATCCAATTCAATGGTCCAACCACTCCACATATGGTCGCTTTGTACATTACGTGGCACCTGCACTTTTTGTTGTTGTGGCAATTATTGTACTTGTCTATTAATGCGTTTGTTTTTTATTCTGGCCCCATTATTATAATGGGAGGATTACCCAAAAAAAAAAAAAGAATAAAAATATTTATAAAGTAATCAACAACGGGTATCTAATATTCTAAAGTAATAAAAAAGGTAAAAATATCTATAACGTTATATGATGGTGTAAAAGTAGCCAGATCGTTAATTTTGACTTAACACCGTTAACTTTGACCATTAAATGATGACTGTACAGACCACGTGTTAATCTTTATTGATGTAGACTAAAAAAGGGATAAAAATACCCACGAAGTTATCGGTCAGGAGTAAAAATACCCATAACGTTACCAGAATTGGTGCAAAAGTGATCAATACATTCAATCCCTTAAATATTGACCGTTTAGCTGACAACTAAGCAAAATTATTATTTTTTCACTAATGTGACAAAAAATATTCCTAGATGAATTTTTACGAATATTGATTGATATGTATAAGTATCTATAATGTTACTTTAATAGGTGCAATAGTGACCATTCTGTTAAAATCAATGCTATATGGTTTTTTTCCATCACCACATATCTCAATCCTTTCCTTTCTCCCTATCTACTCATTTTTCTTGTCTGTAAAATTGAGATTTAACATAGTGAAATAGGTTGTTCAAAATTAAAGATCAAGACTGAGCACGTCTAACTTAAGAACATTATCACAACCTTAAACAATTGCATTCATGATAGATTCAAAATTTTTAAATGATTTTTGCCACTATTGTGATTTAATTTGATATTCAATCAAAATGACATTTTTTCACATAATATTCATATAATAACTGATTAACTTTTAGAGTAATGTTATTTTAATAGGTGCAATAGTGACCAATCTGTTAAAATCAATGCTATATGGTTTTTTTCCATCATCACGTATCTCGCCCCCTTCCTTTCTCCTTATCCACTCATTTTTCTTGTCTGTAAAATTTGAGATTTAACATAGTGAGATAGGTTGTTCAAAATTGAAGGTCATCACAACCTTAAGCAATTGCATCACGATAGATTCAAAATTTTTAAATAATTTTTGCTACTGTTGTAAAAAAAAATTTAATTTAATATTCAGTTAAAATGACATTTTCTCACATGATAGTCATACAATAACTGATTAACTTTCAGAAAATTTTATTTAAGAATATTTTTTGTCTACATCAGTAAAAAAAAGTCAACTTCTGCTTAGTTGTCAGCTAAACAATCAACATTTAAGGGATTAGATGTATTAGTCACTTTTGCACCAATTCTAGTAATGTTATAGGTATTTTTGCTCCTGGCCGATAACTTCGTGGGTATTTTTGCCCTTTTTTTAATCCACATCAGCAAAGACTACACATGGGATATACAGTCAGCATTTAACGATTAAAGTTAATGGTGCTAAGTCAAAGTTAATGCTTTGGTTACTTTTGCACCCATCCATATAACGTTATGGGTATTTTTACCCTTTTCATCACTTTAGAATACTGGGTGCCCGTCACTGACTACTTTGTGGGTATTTTTGTCCCTTTGCTAAAAAAAAAACCTAATGTACAAATGACAATTAAGTATTACTTTTTTCATTCAAAAATATAAACTATTTTTTGAGGAGTTGGATATTCAAAAATATAAAGCATTTTTAATCTTTCGAGATGTAATCATTGCCTTTTTCTAAAAATGCCCCTATTGATAATGACTTTATATTTATTATAGGGTGTTTAGTAGAAGTAAATATGAAAAGATAAGGTTAGTTTAAAAGTAGATAATTACTTTATTGGACGGTAAGATTTGGTTAAAAATACCTTATATTTTTTAACGGAGGAAGTATAAAATATGATAATTATTATTTAGTCTACTTATGTGACATTTTATTTTTTATTAAATAATAAATTTGATCTCATTGATTATTATACATTGGGAAATGACTACTTTAGTTGGAATGCTGACTAAGACAGAATATAAGATGACTACTTCATTTATGAAAATTTTTTTAATCAGTCAATTACAAGTCTCAATAACTATTAACTTATATGCTTATTGTAACATCTTAAATTTTTCAATTAGTAATTATCAGTGTTTCCAAGGGTAATTTGATCAATTTAGATAAATAATTGAGTAATGAGGTTTATAGAAAACTAATATAGTTTTTAGATCATTGGATAGCCTTAGAAAAGGGTAAGATTGATATTTGAACAGGCCATGGCACGGAAGAGAGTTTAAAATTTTGTGTGACTTTTGTGCCATGCATCACGGCGAGCTTGTTAATGCTCTGCGATACATATGCAGAATCAGCACTTATTAGTTTGTAAAAATAGACCGAAAACAAAAGAGAGAAGAAGGAAAAATGAGAGAGCGACGGAGAAGAGCTCCTAGTTTGCTAGAGTACAATCCCTAGGCTACTTTAGAAGCATTTGGAGCTTGAATCACCATTAGGTAAGTTTCACATTCCCTCTTCTCCCTCTTTTATGCAAAATCTGGATTTGTAGGGTAATAGGGGCTTTGATTTCAATTCTCTTGGGTTTAGACTGAACGCATTAGTTTATTTAAGGTCTTGGAGAGTTAAATCAAGCCTTTAACCTTAAGTTTATGAGTTTTATGGTGATTGAGAATTTTTGGTAAGAGTTTAGACGAACCCTAGGCATAATTTGAAAATTTTAAGACAATGTGAGATATTGGTTAGTGATTTTGATGTGTTAGGATGTCTAAAAAGATGGTTAGAATGTTTGAAAATGTTTGGTGTTGTTAGGTAAGGAATTTAGGTGTTATAGGCACTTAGAACCTAGTGAATTTAGAGTTAACCGGAGTGATAATTGATGATTATCACTTGATTGTGTAGATTGAGTATTGCTCGAGCTATATCGTGCGTATAGAACGTGTGGAGCTAATGTTGAGTCGCAGTAAATCTTATGTGTGACAAAGGATTAAGGTAACCATATAGTTTATTGTGTTTATTAACTATTATAACTGTATAGAAATAAATACAAATTGATGAACTTGTTGTTTAAGAATTTTGTGCATGATTTGATATTAAAAAATAAATTTTTAGCATGAACATTGGTTTATGAAATGAATTTCAAAAAGTCATTGATTCTAATAAATGTGTGTGTGTGTGTGTGTGTATGATATGAAAGTAAATGTGATGGAAATGTTGATAAGTAATGATAAGTGTGAAAAAGCATGATCATAGGGGGTGGGAGTTCACCCGATATATGTAGGGATATGTGTGTGTGGAGATATGTGAGTGAAAAATTCATATGATTAGGTTGGCACCATGGGACATTCGGTGCAGCATTATATGGGATTGCTATCATGGGACATCCAGGCAGTCTAGCAACTCCCTAATACCTGTTAGGGTATGGTTAGGAGTCAATGATGCCTATATCACAAGTGTGTGAAGAGGAAAAAATCATAGTCCGTAGGTGGGTTAGATTACCTTTGGCCAGGTGTTTCTACCACTAAAAGTGTGCTCAGGTCAATAAGTGGATGATCCAGAAGAGCCTATGGTTTCATGTCGGGGAGCATTGGAGGTTCGATGGTTAGATGATCATATTAGTGTGGAATTATGTGGAATTGTTGTGAAAAGATGCACTTATCTCATAAATATGGTATACTTGATATTACCTTAATTTTGATAGTTTATCATGGTTATTTGTGGTAATAAGTATTTGATGAACTACATTGGTTATTAAGATATTTATCTTACTCTGCAGTTATATTTTACAAGTGAAGGCTCCGGTAGGGGTAAGGGAAAAGAAGGAGCATTTAAAGAGTGAAAAGCTAGTTGTATAGCTCTTCCCTTTCCTCTTTTTAGGTATTGTAATGAATATTATTAATATATAATACCAACT